GACTTTTGTTTTTAATAGCTATTTACTGGTGATTCCATTATTCTTAGCATCTCTCTTATCCCACAAATTGAGGACTATTAATTTTGACTTTCTGTAGGCCCAGATTTATTTCCATTATTGAAGATATTTGCCACTCTGGATTCTAGAACAACATGGAGAAAGTTGTTGAGAGAAATAGTTAATCTCGTTATAAAGAAGAATTTCATAACTTGCGTAACTTTGGGCTATCCTGCAATGGGAATAGACTGCCCTGCAAGACAGGAAAGTCTCTGTCTCTGGAATTGTTTACACAAGAGTTGCACGACCAACTGCCAGATGGGAAACTGCATGAAAATGCGACAGTGACCTTTCTCCCCTCTTGAGAGCTAGGACACGTGGTGACATGATATTACAATTAACTATGTGAACGATATATAAACAATGAATGTGTGACAATGAAAATCTCAGCAAACATCAAGGTTTGCTTTGTGTTCTAGAGAGATTATATTACAGGTAAATACCTGTGTAGGAACTTCTTAGTGACAGACTGAATGATGTTTGATGAGCAGCTGTCCAAATAGTGTACTCACTCCTAACAATGATTCCATTTCATTTGTCTAAGATGACTGAGAACACTACCAGTGCTTCTGAGATTTCAGATAAAATTTAATACTGGAATGTTAAAACATACATTGCTCTGATATTCAATATCTTTAAAATACAATATCTTTACCAGATTAGAACAAAATAATGATGAAAAGCAGACTTAACCTATAATATGGTCGATTTTTTTTAAGGGTCATTGGGAAAATTCCCCATCTCAAAATATCTGTTTTATTGCTGTCCCTGGCTCCACCCTGATGAGTCATTCTTTTGTGTCAAGCATGGTCATCCTCCTGACCTTGACACAAAGTGAGGGAGAGAACTAGGCTAGGTGTCAGGGTTCTACAAGGCCAGGCTCCACTGCAGGGAATTTCTCACCTGAAACCATAAGTTAAGAAGTGAAAGATACTATGTTCTCTGCTGAGTGAAAGAAAAGACTCAAAGTCTAGCAAATGAAAAGCATGACAGAAACATACTAATTAGTATACAGAACTTGAAGTAGGGGCCAGTGCAGTGGCTCATGCCTGTAATCCTAGCACTTTGGGAGGCCGAGGCAGGTGGATCACTTGAGCTCAGGAGTTCGAGACCAGCCTAGCCAACATGGCAAAACCCAGTCTCTACAAAAAATACAAAAATCAGCCAGGTGTGGTGGTGTGCACCTGTAGTCCCAGCTGCCTGAGGGACTGTGGTGGAAGGATTGTTTGAGCCCAGGAGGTGGAGGTTGCAGTGAGCCGAGATCACACCACTGCACTCCAACCTGGGTGACAGAGTAAGACTCTGTCTCTAAATCAATCAATCAATCAATCCAACTTGACACAGGAGCCAGAAAGTAGGGAACAGACATCAACAGGATTGCTCAGGTGAGGAATTGTCTGGCCAGGCGTTTTCATCTTCAATGGTTTTTATAGACCAAATAGGGCAGTAGGGTCTGCCATGTTTAAAGGGCCTAGAATGTACCATAGATTTTAGAGGTCAGAGGAATGGCAAGAAGGGAAGAGCTGCAAGAGAGAAATGCTAGTGGAAAACTTCACTCTCCTCTCATAACAAGGCACATATCCCTGTGTGAAGACTTCTTGTTTGTTTTGAAGTTATCACAATATTAGTAATTATTTTAAGGATGTAATTTAATCTTTTGTAAAAATGAAAGAACATTTTGTCCCAGGTTTTTCTTTTCAATAAATTTGTGAATTTAACTACCATTTGTCCCATTTATTCAGGATTATTTAGATTCTGCTTTTTGTAGACTTGGTTAAGGCTGTAGCATAGTATCAGTACAAAATCTGGTCAGTCATTTCAATGCAAGAATGCTTGCCAAGACTTTGTTTCAGTGTAGCTTAAAGGGCTCACACATATTTTTAGTTAATAGTCCCCCTGTCATTGATTGGCTTGTGTTTCATCCCCCTGCTTAATTTTGTTTTCTTATTTATACGATACAGGATTTGAGAGTGGGGTTAGAGGTCAGAAAGTGGTGACCTGTGAACTAAAGTAAGCCAGCAGACTGTTAGTTTGACTAAGATACTGAGTTTTTCCTTGCATGTGTGTTGTTTTAATGAATGCCTTTCAGTAGGACATACACAATCATTTTGCTTAGGGACCCACCACCCCACCCCACCACTGAGTTCAATCTAGACTCAATGTCTGTATCCCCTGCATGGCTCTGCATTTGAATTTGTGGCTCTTGGGTCAGGCATATTATTCAATTTCTTTAGGCTCCTAAGGCTTTAATTCTCCAAAATATCTGAGAGAATTAAATTTATTTTTTCCATTTTTTTTCCCCATTAGTTGAGAAACAGATTGGATGGAAGGGAATTCATACATGGTGAGGTCCACCAGGTATCAGACCCCCCCCTCCCCACACATTGTCATTTAATCCTCAAAGCATCTCAGTGAGGTGGTCATTATCATACACATTTTAAAGGTGACAAAACAAGGTCAAATAATCTAATATCTTGCTCACGATCAGAAGTTTATTAATTGTGGGAATTGGGTTCAAATCCAGATCTGTTTGTCTTCAAAAACCTCGAGATATACTCATTTCCCTTAGTGAGCAAAAACATTCTACAGAGATTTTGTGAATAGTAATAAAGCTTTGCCCAGACACATAAAGGATATAAAATGTCCAAGTATCTCAAACTATATATACAAAATATCTTATTTGCAGACTATATTCTTTGACCAGTAGGGAATTATATTTCTACTGTTCTTGGGAGCATACTTGACAGAAGAGCCACACAGAATTTAGGAAGAATCATCATTAGAGGACATTTGACTTTCATTCACACATCGATGTGACTTTAGAAAATATATCACAAAATCATTCAAATTTGAAATGTAAAGATATTTTACTTCTAACACTTTACTGTTTTGCCAAAGATACTATCTTATAAATTCAACCTTGTTTGTACAAAATAGCACTAAAACTCCACATGCTTTGAAATAGTGCTCTACTACCTAGAAACTTTGACGGATCAGTTCTAGTAAGAAGTTCAGATATGTATAGGCATAGAATAAATGAAGACAAAAAGAGTGTTAGTATGATGAATGAGCAGAAAACTTTGAGTAGAAAACACAAAGTTCAGTTGTGTTTTCATTACAGAGTTGCATAACATTAATTCTGCTAATATAGACACACATTGTATTTAACATAATATCCATACCATGTGAGTTACTTAATCGGCTTTTAATAAGCCTGGTGGCTAGTAAATATCCAGAAGAAGAATGTATATTTTCAAAAGGAAAAAGAAGAAAATGAGGATACATTAAAAATAAGTAAAATAAAAGAGTATCTATATAGGGGCAGTTTTCTGTAATTTCTAAGCTTTGGGTTAACCAGCATTCTAATTTGACCACATTGAGCCAAGGAGTTTTAGTTTCAGTTTTTTTTTTTTTTTTTTTTTTTTTTTTTTTTTTTTTTTTTTTTTTTTTTTTTTTTTTTTTTTTTTTTTTTTTTTTTTTTTTTTTACTTTAAACAAGCAGTGCTCAAATTTACAGGCAATATTTTTTGCAAATGCAGTGTGAATTAATATACATATTAAAGCAATTAGATTGTCAAGTTTCACTTTTAGTGACTGGGGTTTGGGGAGTAGAAAGGGGCACAGAAACTGTTGCCCTTTTCAAATAACTCACAAATGTGCTAATTATGTGTCAGATATGAAAGTTAAGGCATTGTGACCTTCAAGCCAATAAAAGACCTTTTCAAGTAAGTCATCCCCATGTACATTAATAAAGCGAACAATGCCCTTCAACAGTTAAATAATATATGCCTGTTATTTCATTACATGTGAATGAAAACCAAGGAGTTATTTCACTATTGGCATGTTAAAAGTAATGTTATATAAAAAGCAAAGACTATAAATCAGTTTAAATAACATTTTGTGGTACTCTTAAAATAGTGATTCAAAGTCATATGTTGTTTATTTCCACTGCATGTGGCTAATGTGTGGTTTCTCCACAACTGGATGTATTTTAGATCTTAGCAGGAAAAACTGCAATGTGTTAAAGTATAAAACAACTGACAGAGATATTTTTAAAGTTAGAAAAATTACTGTTAGATAAAGTATCTCCTTGCAGTGATAAAGACAGTGATACATTTTGCAGATCAGAGAAAACATTGCTTCTGTCCATAAACCTTACTGTGCTAGTAAGAAGAATGTTGAACAAGAGTGAGGTTCAGAGGAAGAGAAAATCATCTCACACTCTTTATCATGGCTCTTTCATGGTCTAAAGAAAATATCTGTAAATCTTGGAGCTAGGTCATGGACACAATGGTAATTAAAAGAGCACTTATTTTGTTGGAAGAAAATGTAAATTTCAAAAGCAATAATATAAATTTGGGTGTCAATAATGCTTGAATCAAATGCACTGCTGGAATGTCAAACGGTACCCCTGAAGTTATAGTAGAAAGAAAAGAACAGGAAAAAGAAGTTAATTATCTTGTATTTGTTCAGCTTTGTAGTGTATTTGATGCAAACAAAACATGTATGAAGATACAGTCATACTTAATGCAACTTAAATATGAGTAATAGACTTCTGGGAAATAATAAACCAATTACAAATTTAAAATAAATCACAATCCTATGAGATTCCAAAAATCTTTTAGCATTCAATCCATAAACTTTTTTTCCCAGTCTCATACTTCTTATGGGTTAGATGTTGATACCAAGAGACTGTATAGGGTTTACTGATTCACTCGCTAGTCTCTCCTTTTCATAGTAAACAATTATCTGAGTCCTTTTATTGTTATTTGCTTTACTAGATTCTCTGAATTCTTTCAGAAAATAGATACCAGTGATGTTTTCAAGAATGTTACTTGTCACTGAGTTTCTCAATGAATGTATACATGTTCTTGTTCAGTAAAAATGTTTCTGCATTTCTTTGAGAATATAAAATAATTTCCATTATTTTGGATTATATTTAAGGTGGCAAATCTTGCTTGTTCCATGTCGACAAATGAAGATGGAATTAAAATTGTCAAAATTGCAGCCAGTCATTTGGAAACCTTATGTCCACAGGTATGATAACTAAGTTACTGTCTTTTGTTTGTAAAATTATATGTAATTCCTAATGCTTTTATGCATATGAAAATATACTTTTTTTTTTTTTTTATGAGACCAAGCCTCACTTTGTCACCCAGGCCGGAGTGTAGTGGCATGATCTTGGCTCACTGCAACCTCCACCTCCCAAGTAGCTGGGATTACAGGCATGCACCACCATGCCCAGATAATTTTTGTATTTTTAGTGAAGACAGGGTTTCAGGATTTCACCATGTTGGCCAGGCTGGTCTCAAACCCCTGACCTCAAGTGATCCTCCCGTCTCAGCCTCCCAAAGTGCTGGGATTACAGGCGTGAGCCACTGTGCCCAGCCAAAATGTTTATTTGGAGCATGGAGGACTGAATTATCCTAAGGTGATTCTTTAAAAGGGAGTAGAGAAAAAGACTGACATTCCTTAAGTGGCCATATTGGAATCTCCTGAGGCAATGGTGCTTTGTCCAAATGATTTGATTTGTTTTTAGTGATTATTTTGATATTTCGAATGGTTTGAAAGGATTGACTCTTTTTCTTTTATCAAAGAAGGTATGGGTTTAAAAATAAGAAGTATTTTCTTGTCAGCAATTCAGGTGTTTCTTAAAATCTGAAGAGCAACATACTTTTAGGGAATTATTTCTACATGACAAATTGTTTTGAAGCCATGAATCAAGATACACATATGGCAATCTTAAACACTCTTGTCTGAGAAGAAGCAGGATATAATATGTACACTTTCTAATAAAGACCACAAATATTATAAGGATGAGAAATATAACAAAAATTAGGAACTTTAAGTCTCTGGACACCTGCTGAGATTCTCATTCTACAAAAAGTAAAGCATACGTTAAAGTCTTGATTTGCCTTGCTGACAATTTCATCTCTAAGAATATTGAGGAAACTGTGAGGGAAACTGCTTCTTTGGACTTAATGTTGATTAACAAGTAAGAGCAGGCTGGAAAAGTGGGATCTATAGGACGTGCAGCTGAGATCCCCCAACTGATGTCAATTTTCTATGAAACTGCAGAGGGAACAGATCTGCTACGAGGTCTCTAAAGTTGTTGAATGAAATGTACTCCCATCAACACTCTATATGTGTTCTCATCTCTGCACATTGTGAATATTGCTCAAGGTTATCACTTTTTAAAATGCCTTTTTAATCTGAAGAGTATTAAGTATCTCTCATTGGTTTTAGTGTGTAATTTTCTGATTCCTAGTGAGAACATTCTTTTTGCAAAAATTTATTGACTATTTGGCTTTCTAATTCTGTGACTTGTTTACATCCTTTTCCAATTTTCCAATTTTAGTTTGGTTGTCTTTTTTTGTAGTTGATTTGTTACATTGGTTAAAAATATCTCTGTTGCGCAGGTTTTTAAAAATAATTTTTCAATAATTTTTTAGTCACAAGATTTTAAGAACTTTTATGTAAACATATGATTCACCTTTTAATTATTTTAAGAAATATTTATGAAGTACTTACTGAGTGCCCTGGTTTGTGGTTTTGTGCCTTGTTAAGAGATTCTGCCAACAGATTTGTCACATATTTCCCTTATTATGTTGTTAAAAGATTAAAGTATCATTATTTAAATACAGATATTTATTCCTTCTGAAATATATTTTTATATCTAACATGAGGTAGAGATCATTTCATTTAATAATGTTGACAGTTGGGCCACCATCATATGTTAAATAGTTGACCCTTTCTCATTTACCATGAAATCCTACCACCGTTTCACACACCACCCACACAGATATATAAGTATTTCCATTGTCTCACATATATTTGTATACACATATTCACAAATATTTATAAACTTAAACACATGCACACATGTACAACATGATATAATACATTAAATATATAATAATATATAGCAATATATAATTATTTTTACCTTGCTCCACATGTAAAGATAGGATGATAGACAAGTGAAACATTTCAAAGTACACAAGTTTCTGGACTTTCTATTCTGTTCATTGGTCTATTTCTCTATCCCTGCAACAGTATCATAATGTCTTAAATATGGTTTTACACTAAGTCCTGGTATCTTTTAGGCAAAATAGCTCATCTGTTTTTTTTTTTCTTTAAATTATAGCTGTCACTTTTTATTTTCATAGAACTTTTGAGATTAACTTATCAAGTATCATGAAAAAACATTAGAATTTAGATTTGAAATATTACAATTATAGATTATTTTAAAGAATGACTCCTTTAAGATATTGAATCTTTCCATTAATAAACATGTTCTATCTACAGTAATACTTCTTGTCCAGTTTCACTTTCAATGGTTTCAGTTACCCTCATTCAACTGTAGACTAAAAATATTAAATGAAAAATTCCAGAAAAAATGTTTTAAATTGCATGTCAAACCTCATATTGAGATCAAAGCTTCATCTCTTTCCATCCCACCCAGCATGTGAATCATCCCTTTGTCCAGCATATTTGTGCTGTAAATGCCACCTTCCTGTTATTCACTTACCAGCCATCACGGTTATCTGATCAACTGTTGCAATATTCATGTTCAAGTAACTTGTATTTTACTTAATAGTGGTTCTATAGCACAAGAGTAGTGACTCTGGCAATTCAGATATGCCAAAGAAAAGCCATACACTTCTCCTGTAAGTGAAAAGGTAAAAGTGCTCACCTAAATTAATGGAAAAAAAAAACATATACTGTGGTTGCTAAAATCCGTGGTAAGAATGGATACTCTATTTGTGAAATTGTAAAGAAGGAAAAAGAAATTCATGCAAGTTTTGCGGTCACACCTCAAATTGCAAAAGTTATGGGCACGGCGTGTGATAAGATGGAAAAAGCATTAAATTTGTGGGTAGAAGACATGAACAGAAAGTGTATTCTTATTGATGGCAACTGGGTTTGGTACCATTTAAGGTTTCAGTCATCCCTTGACTGGTCTTGAGATGTATGCTCTGCAGAGAATGGAGGACTACTATATCTCTATAATCAGATCTTTTAAAAAATGTGTCCTTCAGAGACTCTTTAGTTTTTTTTTTTATTTTATTTCAGTAAACCTCATGGTTTTGAGTATCTTCTACAAGCTGTTGATTTCCACATTTTTCTCTCCAGCCCAAATGTCCCTCCTAAAAACCAGACTCATGTATGCCTAATGTTTCCTTTAGCATCTCTACTTTGATACCTAGAAAACATCTAAAACTTAAAATAGCCTAAATGAAACTTCTAATTTCTCTGCCTTTATCTTCTTCCATTTCTCCTTCAGTTCCTAGTTTAGTTAATGACATACCCATTCACCTAGTTGCTCTAGCGAAAAACCTGGGAAGTTTGGTTTCTTTTCTTTTCTTTCCTTTTCTTTTCTTTTCTTTTCTTTTCTTTTCTTTTCTTTTCTTTTCCTTTCTTTTCTTTTCTTTTCTTTTCTTTTCTTTTCTTTTCTTCTTTCTTTCTTTCTTTCTTTCTTTCACATTTACTATGTGGTAGGCACTGTGAGTGCATCTGGAGAGAAAATAGTAAAGAAAACAAATAATAAACAAAAAATGCCTGCTTTTGTGAAGTTGATGTTCTAATGATATCTAATAGTTGTTTTTCCTGCCTAATCCATTAACAAGTCCTATCATTTCACACAAAAAAATCTATCTTAAATCTGTATACTTCTCTCCATCTTGTTTGTCAACATCTTAGCCTATGACACCATCATCTCTATCTTGCACTACAGAAATGCAGACTATTTTTTAGCTTAATCAGACCTGTATGCTTTTCCTACTGCCTAACTTCCAACCTTACCCCATAGTATTATATTTTCACTCAGTAGATCTCTGTATAGTTCCTTTTCTATTCCTAGAACACAATAATCCACTTCCCACCTGGGGAGTTTGTGCTTTGTAATTCTCCAGTGTTCTTTTCCCACATGGTCATATAGACAGTTTCTTTTATGTACAGTTTACAAGGATTCAGCTTATATATCATCTTCTCAGAGATCAATCTCCCTTCTCCCTAAATCACTCCTCTAGCTATGACTTATTATGTTACTATATTTCTTTATTTTAGAGTCTGTATCACAACCTGAAGTTATATTTTATATTTTTTACCCTTATTATTTATATTACACACTCACACAGAAAGTTCATGAAGTCAATTATTTGATCTCCTTTATTCACTATGAATATCCCTTGTACCTAGCAGAAATAAGATATATATTGGATGTTCCATAAATATTTCTTCAGTATATAAATGAATAAGAGGATTACTAGAATGACAAATCATTCTATATTCATAGTGGGCAAGGATGCTTTTGGCAACAACTTCTTTTCTTAACACAATGTGTCTTATTTTTGATAAGATGAAAAAATATGACACTATAATTACTTTGAGCTGTAACTAATAGAAAAAAAAAAAAAAAACCTTTACAGTGTCTATTTTATATATAGATACTGACCGAGAATTGTATATGAATTCATAGGCTAGATTGATGTTAGAGTGAATCAGGTAAATCCTGGGTCAGGAGGAGCTGATAGGATAGCCCCGAATCCAATTTGTAAATACAATTAAAGTCACCTAGGTTTCAGTAAATTGAGTTGTTCTGGTTCTTACTGTGTGCAAAGGACCACAACTGTAAAACTTTGCCCAGTTATAGGTATCATCCTTCAAAAAAGATTTATCACTTGGAGCATACTTAGCAGAGATATTTGAAATAGTGACATGAGTTGAAACTATGCCATATGAACATCTCAGAAAAGCAATAGGGAATTTTAAGCCAGGAAAAGGTAAGACCTGGAGAAACACAATCACTCTTACTGTATCTTTAATGGACTATGATGTGAGTGACTTGTTCTGAAGGGCCCCGAGGGGCAGAATACAACCTATGAGCAGAAGTTAGAAGAATGAAATTTTATCTCAAGACAGAGATGAGTTTTTTTTTTTTTTAACAGAGCTATCCTGACAGGAATTGGACTTTATTGAGAACACAGGATTTGAAGTTTTTCAACGCTATAGACATTTAACACAAGGAGAGTGACTATTTGACCAAGATATTTCATAGAGGGTACAAACAAACTTTGGGTGAAAGGTGGGTCTAGAAGCCTTTTGAAACCCAATCCTGAGATCCTCTAGTGGATCTGTCTATTTTATGAAAATGAGAAATGTGATCCGGATGACAGCATTGCTAGAGTACTACAGGTATGTGAACAGTTATACTCAACCTAGATGAAGGATAAAGCCATCTACAGGGCTTAATCCTTGCTCCATTTGAACAAGTGACCTGGAAAAATATTGGAAAAGTAAACATTTTATATTTGTACAAGGCACGAAGCTGTGAAACATACACAGAATGAACTAATGTTTGAAAACTCATAAGCTGAAAGTAAATAAGGATAAATATTAAGTCAGGGCCTTAGCTTAAATACAACCTATTGCAGAAGTGTATAGTGAAACAATTGCACATCAAAAGCACATGGGGCATCAAGAGTGGAGAGGGACATTGGCTCTCTAGTTCAATTAATTTAAAACTTGGATCTATGAAAGCATTTTCATGGTCTATAGCAAAATTAGCTCAGTGTAGTTAGCTTTTTTTCAGAGTGAAATTTATTTAATTTTTAATCTGAGGTTTTATATTTATTACATGATATTTATCAGAAATGTTTGATTTACGAAATAACAAAGTAGATAATAGTTGTTTACATTATTTTTTGGCAAAAAATAAATTTTATCAATAAATAAAATTATTTTTTATTTTACTAACAAAACACTAAAAATGTACCCACCCTACATGAGCTCCTTCTCTTTCCTGTGTCTCCTTTTTCTTTTAAAAATATTTGTGGCCTGAAAAATCCAGAAAGTTAAAAGTACTAATTTAGGGACTTAACTGTGTAAGTCAATAGCATGGTATGGGGACTGACTTACAGCTTTGAAATAATTGATCTTTTGGTAGTATAAGTGTGATAATTGGATTTTCATGCTCATGCGTGATACATGCCTCCCTCAAACCTTGTTATGACACCAGCACATTATTTGTATGCCATGAAAAATAAAATGATTATGATACCTAGCTTGTGAAATAGAAGGAAATTTTCAATATACTTGGCACAGGGATATCCACATTGAATATCATGCTGAGTCCGGGCCCCATAGTTTAAAATATATGCAGAAAAAAAAATAAGTTGTTTTAACCCATAGTGAGCTATTGCCTTACTGTTTTACACAGTTATTCAAAGTAAAGGTTTAAATAAAAGCAATATAGTGTATACCTTAACAAAAATATTGGAGAGATTATTTCATTATTGAGAGGAATCAGATGGTCTTAAATGTTTTTTCCATAAATAAGTTTCATTAATTAACAAAAAGCATGATGAAAACCTAGGGTATTTTCCCTGTGGTGAACACACACTCAATTAGGCAGACCCTCCTAAGTACTTAGATTTTCCAAAATCAAAAGAGAGAAATGTGGTCTAAAATATGTGCTTCTAAAATAAGTCAAGTTTTCCAATCACTGGTTTGAGCCAGTATCTAGTATAGCTTTGTTATATCTATCTGTTGCTCTCACCACAAAATCCAGTGACCTGACAGGGCTAAAAGAGCTTCTAGAGGAACCTAATTTATTTTCAGTGATGTGGTTGGGCATAAAGAGATAATAATTTTATAAGTTGTTGTTGAAAATTTATAATTACTAAAACAGATGTATATTGGGTATGTTGATAAGTAGGGAAAAATGTCAAGATTGCCCTAGAGAAGCATGTGAAATATAGAAAGAACAAAGTATTTGCAGTAGAACATGCACTGGAAGTCGCTTGTATTCATATTTTAAAATAGAAAGCTATAAAATCCATGAGGATGAATTTTGTTCCATTGATATAGGAATAATGCTTGACACATAGTAGGTACTCAATACATTTTTGCTGAGTGTATGATTATCTCTCAGTGACCTTTTTCGGATTATATTCATTGTCAAGTAAATGCTGGAAGCCATTACTATTCCCCTTCTTTGTTTTCTGGGAGTATAGAAACTTGCCATTTCTAATCAAAGTGATAAAAAGTACCAGTATGACACTTTGTCTGTTGAAGTACAAGTCATGTGAAGTGACTGGCATGATCTCTCTCTGCATAGACAGGACATTTTGTAAAAACTGCAACTTGTTCTGATTAAGTTATGATGTATTTAGTGCACACTTCAGTAAGGGCATTAGAGTATTTCTTTGCAATGGAAAACCATGTGCTTATTTGTATGGGTTTTTTATTTGCTTTTCTGATAGAGGAGCTGTCATACCTGTGAGCTGAAAGCACTTAATTTTCTAAGTTTCAAGCTTTGGGAAGCAAATATACTTTCTTTCATATACTGTTGATGATGATGGATGTTTTGTTTGTAACTAAACAATATAGGACCTAGATAGTCAATGTAAAATGACCATATTCTTAAAGAATCATGTAAGAGCCATATCACGTCTTTTATAATATATGCCTAATTTATTTATTTTCACTTCAGGGAATGGCACAAAATGCTCTTAAGATTTTGAAAACCAACAGCTGTGTCATAAAGTAAAAAGACTTAAAGGAAGTCATTTTATTTTTAAAAAGCTTATAATAATTGAACAGTATATCCTCAAGACTGACTAGGGTTGATTTCAGATGTAAGTTTAGGACCAGTTCCTTTCCAGCGATGGTGTGGAATCTATATGGTGAGATGGTGCTTGAGTGCAGCTAAGTTGCTAGGTCTGGAAATTAATGTCTGTGCATTCTTCCTATCACTGCTCTGTATCCTGTCCCAATTACACAGTCAGCCACTTTCTTCCACTCCAAGAATCTCTTCATTCAGCAAATACTTACGGACCACCTACTGGGAGCATACAGCTTTCCATAGTTTCTGTACTACTTTATATTTCCACCAATAGTGTACAAGCATTCCCCTTTCTCCACATCACTGCTAGTGTTATTTTTTGTCCTTTAAATAATAGCTATTCTAACTGAACTGAGACAATGTCTCATTGTGGTTTGATTAGAATTTCCTTGATAATTAGTTATGTTGAACATTCTTATGTCTTCTTTTGAGAAATGTTTATTCAGGTCTTTGGCCCATTTTTTTTCCCCAACATGTGTAAATAAACTGTTGTTGAAACACAGCCATGTGAGTTCCTTTCTGTATTGCCTAGGGTTGCTTTCATACAACAAGGAAAGAGAGCATTCACCTAACCTGAAATAGTTACCATCTGGCCTTTTTGTTAACTTTTAAGTTTAGGGGTGCATGCACAGGCTTGTTATATAGGTAAGGTCATGTCATGGGGCTTAAAGCGTTTGCTCCAGGACTGCAGCCCCTTGAGTATTTTCACACATGAACTAAAAGCTATTTAAAGATACACATGAAGTCTCTTTCTGGAGTTTATTTTGTCACCCAGATATTAAGCCTAGTAGCCATTAGTTATTTTCCCTAATCCTCTCCCTCCTCTCAGCCTCTACCCTCCAGCAGGCCCCTGTGTCTGTTGTTTCTCTCTATGTGTCCACCGGTGTTGATCATTTAGCTCCCACTTATAAGTAAGAACAGGCAGTATGTGGTTTTCTGTTCCATGTTAGTTTGGTAAGAATAATGGCATCCAGCTCCATCCAGGTTACTGCAAAGAACATGATCTCATTCCTTATATGGCTGCAGAGTATTCCATGGTGTATATGTACCACATTTTTTTTATCCAGCCTACCATTGTTGGACATATGGGTTGATTGATTGTCTTTGCTATGGTGAATAATGCCGCAGTGAACATAGACATATGTGTGTCTTTATGATAGAATGAAGAATCTTCCTTTCGATATATACCCAGCACTAGGATTGCTTGGTCAAATGGTATTTCTGTATTTAGGTCTTTGAGGATTTTCCATGCTGTTTTCCACGTGGTTGAAATAATTTACACTCTCACCAACAGTGTATAAGTTGTTCCTTTTTCTCTAACCTTGCTAGCATTTTTTATTTTTTGACTTTTTAGTACTAACCATTCTGACTGATGTAAGATAACATCTGATTGTGATTTTGATTTGTATTTCTTTAATGATTGGTGATGTTGAGGTTTTTGAATTTTTTTTTTTTTTGCCACATGTATATCTTCTTTAAAAAAGGGTCTGTTCATGTCCCTTGCCCACTGTTTTATGAGGTTGATTTTTTTTCTTGTAAACTTGCATAAGTTTCTTATAGATACTAGATAATAGACCTTTCTTATAGATACTAGATAATATACCTGGGTGCAGTGGCTCACAACTGTAATCCCAGCACTTTGGGAGGCCAAGGAGGGCAGATTACTTGAGGTCAGGAGTTTGAAACCAGCCTGTTCAATATGGTGAAACTTCGTATTTACTAAAAGTAAAAAAAAAAAAAAAAAAAAAGCCCAGTGTGGTGGCACACACCTGTAGTCTCAGCTTCTTTGGAGGCTGAGGTGGGAGAATCACTTGAACCTGAGAGGTGGAGGTTACAGTGAGCCAAGATGGCACCACTGCAGTCCAGCCTGGGCAACACAGTGAGACTCTGTCTCAAAAAAAAGAATAACAACAACAAAAAAAGATAATAGACCTTTGTCAGTTGCATAGTTTGCAAATTTTTTCTCCTGTTGTGTAAGTTGTCTGTTATACTCTGTTGAGTGTTTCTTTCATTGTACAGAAGCTCTTATTTAATTAGATCTCAATTGTCTTTTTTTCCTTTGTTGTAATTGCTTTTAGTATCTTTGTCATGAAATCTTTGCCCATTTCTATGTCCAAAATGGTATTGCCTAGGTTGACTCCCAGGGTTTTTATAGGTTGGGGTTTTACATTTAAGTGTTTAATCTATTTTGAATTAATTTTTGTAGAGGGTGTAAGGAAGGGGTCCAATTTCCAACTTCTGCATATGGCTAGCTAGTTATCTCAGCACTATTTATTGAATAGGGAGTCCTTTTCCCATTGCTTGTTTTTGTCAGCTTTTTTGAAGATCAGATGGTTGTAGGTATGCAGTCCTGTTTCTGGATGCTGTATTCTGTTCCATTGGTCTGTATGTCTTTTTTTTATTTTGGTGTGCTGTTTTATTGTTTGATGTGCTGTTTTGTTTTGTATAGTATAGTTTGAAGCTGGTAGCATGATGTCTCCAGTTTTACTCTTTTTACATAGGATTGTCTTGGCTATTGAGGCTCGTTTTTGTTTCCATATGAATTTTAAAATCTCTTTTTATAGTTGTGTGAAGAATGTCTTTGATAGTTTAATAGGAAAAGCACTGAATCTGTAAATTGCTTTGGGCAGTATGGCCATTTTAAGGATTTTTATTCTCTATGTTCATGAGCATGGGATGTTTTTTCATTTGTTTGTATCATCACTGATTTCTTTGAGCAGTGTTTTCTAGTTCTCTTGGCAGAGACTTTTTACCTCCCTGACTACCTGTATTCCCAGGTATTTTATTCTTTATATGGCAATTGTGGATGGGATTACATTTCTCATTTGGCTCTTGGCTTGACTGTTGTTGACATATAGGAATGATAATGATTTTTGTACATTGATTTTGTATCCCGAGAGTTTGCCGAAGTCATGAGCTTAAGTTTTTGAGCTGAGACTGTGGGATTTTCTAGATATAGGATCATGTCATCTGCAAACAGGAGTAATTTGACTTTCTCTCTTCCTGTTTGCATGCTCTTTATTTATTTCTCTTTCCTGATTGCTCTGGCCATGACTTCTGTTACTATGCTGGATACAGAATGGTGAGACAGAGCATCCTTATCTTGTGCTAATTTTCAAAGAAGTGCTTCTAGCTTTTGCCCATTCAGTTTAATGTTGACTGTGGGTTTGTCATAGATGGCACTTATTATTTTGAAGTATGTTTTTTCAATACCTAGTTTACTGAGAGGGTTTAACATAAAACTGGTATTGAATTTTACTGAAAGCTTTTTCTGCATCTATTGAGGTAATCATGTGATTTTTGTCTTTAGTTTGCTTATGTGATGAATCACATTTATTAATTTGTGTATGTTGAATCAACCTTGCATCCCAGGGATGAAGCCTACTTGATTGTGGTGCATTTGCTTTCTG